AGGAAGGGAAAGAAGAGAAGGAAGGAAGGAAGGAAGGAAGGAAGGAAGGAAGGAAGGAAGGAAGGAAGAAGGAAGGAAGGGAGGGAGGGAGGGAGGGAGGGAGGGAGGGAAGGAGGGAGGGAGGGAAGTTCACAAGACTCATCTCAATCTGTGTCTGGGTGTGGTGGCACCTACTGTCATCCAGGCCACGGGGAAGCACAGGGCCAGGCGCAGTAGGCTGTGCCAACCATCAGCAACAACAGGAAGCACAATTCAGAGGCTGGTGGCCCAGTTCATGCCTAGCAAGCACCCTGAGTTCAATTCCCGGTACCACCAAAAAATAAAAATTAAAAAGGCTTCAGGCCCTTCTCCCAGGGCTTCTGCTTCAGCAGGCCCGGGGCCGAGCCTAGGGCTCTGCATTTCCAACAGGTCCCCAGGTGAGCTCAGGGCTGCAGGCTGACTGCACCTGGAGCAGCTCCTTCACACCACACTGCCTCCTCAGGATCCATCGTAACCAGACACCGCCCAGTTGCCAGCAGCTCAGGACAGCCCTGGCCCAAATGGGGTACACTGAGGCCTGTGTCCCACCAGGCTCATCAGGGCCTCTGGACACCAGACCACACCCCTGGGTGTTTTATGGTTTATTCACTTGACAGGAAGCAGGCATTGGTCCTGGGGGGTGGGGAGGGGTAGGCGCCATGCTTTGGGCTAAGTATTGGCCACTGAACCTAAGAATCTTGGGAAACCAGAGCAGGGCCTACCACAGACAGACTCAGGCCAGCCACGGACAGACTCATACCTCAAGGAGTGTCTGCACCTCACACTCACTCGGAAGAGTCGCCATGCCAGACGGCCTGAGTGACAGATGTATAAATTCCGAGGTCTCCCGCCGAGCCCCTCCCTCCCCCATGTCAGAACCCTGGAAAGCAAGGCTGGTTTGATATCTAGACGCTGGCCCTGCTCCGCTCCTGGCCACCATGGAAGCCACGTGTGTTGTCGGGGCCTCGGGGCAGCCTCAGCACCCCCACAGGCAAGCCATCGGCCGTCTGGATCCTCCTGGAGAGCAGGGGGCTGGCTCCCGGGCTCTTCTCTGGTGTGGGTGCTGCCATCTCGGCCTGGCGGCGCCTGCGCACCCAGGGGCTGCCCGAGGGGGTGATGCTGCTGTCGGAGGAGTAATCGGCGCCCTTGCGGCCGCCCTCGGGGCTCATGCTGGCCTGCAGTCTGCCCTCCTCAGCCAGGGGTGACTTTCTGGAAACACCCTTGCGCTGGGCGGAGGGGCTGCTCCAGGGGCTGGAGCACGGGGAAGCGTTCGGGCTCAGGAAGAGGCTCTGGTGGCTCGAGGGGCTGAGCTTGGCCACCACAGGCCGCCGGCCAGCCATGGGGGACGGGGGGCTGCTCTCGGGGTCTGAGGAGCTGTTGGCAGAGGACTCATCACCCGCGTACTGAAGCTCTTCCACCCTCTTGTTAGGGGACTTGTGGAGGAAGGTGTTGGAAGGGGCCTCGTCACCGGGGTTCCTGTCTCTAAGGACCTTCTTTTTGGGCGGCTTCGTGCCAATCAGGATGGCCTTCATGCCGTCCTGGCCCTCTGTGCTCATGAACTCGTGGGCCTTGATGGCCGCCTCCACCTCCTCGAACTCCACAATGGCGCACTCCTGGGTGCCCACCTGGCTGTAGCGGCTGCCAATCCTCCGGATGTCCGGGGGCAGATCTCTTCCGGGCTTGAGGATCCGCACAGACGAGAGAACCCCGAAAGTCCCGAAGACCCTGAGGAGGTGCTCCATGACCCTCTCCTGCAGCCGTCCATTCTTCTGGGGAGCGGCCGAGGCCCAGGGTGTGGGGGACAGGTGCAGGTCGTACACCAGCAGCATCTTGCTGGGGAGGCTCTCGTTGGGAAAGAGTGGGACTGGGGTGGTCCTCCGCACCTTGCGGTGGTCCTCATTCAACTCCAGGGTCCCTGAGAACTGTAGGGCATGCGCTGTGGTCCTCCAGTCCCGAGTGAGGTGCTTCACCTGTGGAACGCAAAGTAAGGCTGATGCACCCATTGCCTGCCTCCCTCTGCCCTGTGATGCCAGAATCCAGCCATACCAGGTTCCTGAAGGCAGGGATGTCACACCAGGGCACCCAACGTAAATCCTGAAGATTATCGCCCCCACCCTCTTCCTGCCTCACCAGATTCATCCATGACACAGATCTGTTAACAGTGCCCACTGCATCCAGCTGCCATCCACACCCAAATCCACATCCAATTTGCTCTATCAAATTTGGAACAGTAGCCGGGTACTGCCATCCCAGCTACTCAGGAGGCCGAGATCTGAGGATTGTGGTTTGAAGCCAGCCCGGACAGGAAAGTCCATGGGACCCTAATCTCCAATCGACCAGCAAAAAAGCTGGAAGTGGAGGTTGTGGCTCAAGTGGTAGAGTACCAACCTTGAGCAAAAGCTCAGGGACAGTGCCCAAGCCCAGAGTTCAAGCCCCAGGACCGGGGGGGGGGGCAGGGGAGGAACAAAACTGAAATGGTGCCTGGCCTGGCTCTCAGCAAATAGGCCATAAAATGATGTGTATCCTTCCTTCCTGGGAGATTTCACTATTCTGCATCTCAGCATCTGACACAGAAGCTTCCAGAAGGTCATCTGACATCTCTGTACCATCTTCTGTGAATCATGATTTTCAACCCAACCTGGCCTCATCCTTGCCCCAGGGTGGAGATAGAAACTACGAGTGGAGGGAGCATGCGGCCCAGAAATGGGGGTGATTTCTAGAACCCGTTCAATGACTCAGCCTGGAGAGATGGTGGAGGGGCGGGGCAGAAGCCAGGATGGTGAAGTCCCAGAGTCCTCCTCGGGCTGGGCTGGAACCACAGGAGCCAGCCCTGACCCTCAACCAGGGGCTGCAGCAAGACCAGCAGCGTGGTACCCATGGGGGAGCTGCCCACACAGGGACCCTGGCAGCAGGAATTGGCCATGGGCGGGACTGAAGGGGAGAAGGCAGTCACTTAGGGGCAGGGAGAGGGTGAAGATGGCGGCTGAGAGCCTGGGAGCAGGCAAGGACTCTCCAGGTGGGTCTGTCGAGCCCAAAGTTGGCACTGCACCTGCTCTACTTGGGAGGGAAGGTCAGGCTACCTGACCCAGGAGGGCTGCAGAAGTCTGAGCGAGTGCACAGCCCCCCAGGAGCAGGGGCGATGATGGCCTGGGGTCCCCCAGAAGCAGCCATGATGGGCTGCAGAGGCTGGGTGTCCAGGTACCACCAGGGCAAAGCAGCAGGGAGCTAAAACTTTGCAAGAGTTTAGAAACTTCCCGGTTCCAAGGAGCGAACCCAGGATGTGCAGACTCTACTGGCAGAAACTGGGGGAGGGAGGGGGGCTTTTCCCTGTAAGCACTTGGCTCCCCATTTCCAGGAATGAAATATCCACTTCTTTCTCCTGGACCTTGACAACTCCTATTCATTCTCCAGGAGCCTTTCCCAACATCACCACCTCTGGGAAGGCCTCAGGTCTCCCATCAGGCCGCTCTCAGAAGAACTGGCTGTGTCTAGTGTCAGACTGTGTCTGGTCACACTGAGAGCAAGGCCACACAGGCCTGCAGTGTGCTCGAGGAATGAATAAAAGGAAGGCAGAGCGGATGTGGCCAGGCAGAGCTGAACTTGGGGTGCTTCCCTTCCCTGCTCACTGACAAGGTTCAGGGCCCTTGGCCAGGACCCATAGCTACGCAGCCCGTTATGCAACAGGCTGTGCAGTAAGCACACATCCCCAAGGAGACAGACTTGTGTTCCACCCATCTCTCCCTCCCTCACCCCCCTCTCCTGGCCAAACACACAGGAGCCTGGCCTCCTTCTCGTAGCTTGCTGGATCACATTCTTTGGAGTGTGTTGTTTGTTTTTGTTATTTTGGTCTTGTGCTTGTTAGGCAGCAGCTCTACCACTCGAACCATGCCCCCCTCCAGCCTTTTTTGCTTTAGCTTTTTATTTTTGTTTGTTTCCTGGTACAATTCTCACTTTTTGTCCAGGCTTGCACCACAATCCCAAATAGCTGGGACCAAGTTATAAGGCAGCACCCTGGACTTCTACTGGTTGAGATGGGGGCTTCCCTAACTTTTTGCCTGGGTTGACTTTGAACTGTGATCCTCCTATCTCTCCCTCCCAAATAACCGGGATTACAGGCATAAACTACCATGCCCTGTTGCATGTGTTGAATAATGACCCTTAAACTTGTTTATTTTTTTTTCTTCATCAGTCCTCAGATTAATAAAAAAATAATAATTGCTAGTCACCAAGGCTTCAAAGGAATTTGACAGATGTCGAAGGCCACAAGCCCGAGCTCCCCAGAGACCCGGACAGGGCTCTGCAAGGCTGGCCTCACCTTCTTGAAGGAGGTGAGCAGCTTGACGCTCACGAAGCCCAGCTTGTTCCTCCGCACGTGCTTCAGCAGGAAGGCGTCCTTCTCCAAGTTCTCGTCCGAGAAATAGAACTCGATCTGCTCCACCAGTTTCCGCACCAGCTCCTGGTCTGGGGGCTTCCACGCCTCCTCCAGATCCTCTCCCTCGTTCTCGCCCCCACTCGTCGTGGTACCACTGAGGCCGAGGAGACAGAGGGTTATAGTGGGGGGGTCTGGACCAGGTCCCCCCCAAATTCCCATGCTGAAGTTCCAGCCCCCTGGAGCTGGGAGAGCCACCCCGAGTAGGGATAGGCTCCCTACGGATGTGGAGGGTGAGGGGGGTGAGATTGTGGAGGAGGGTGCACCCCTAATCTGATCTATGGAGAGATGATGCCAGATGAAGGCTGGAGGCCAGGGGGAGGAGCCGGTGCCTTCCCAAGCCCTGGAGGGAATGTGGCGCTGGCCACGTGTGGCTCAGCCATGGACTGGGTACCACATTCTTCGCTTGTTCCAGGCCCCCAACCTGGTGGCCCCCAGACACCACGTCACACCCCCAGCTGTCCCCACCCCTCCATGCAGGGGTGGAGGGCTTTGAAAACACCACCACCCTCCACAGCCACGCGCGGCACCATCCCTCCTCAGCCCTGGCCCTTCCCACACCCCGGCCGCTGATGCCTGTGGATATTTCCACACTGAGCCCCAACACCAAGCTGGTGGGGACAGGGCCTGCCCTCGGAATTACTGTCCATGGGGTCTATAGTTTAAATGGGGCTTCACAGCAGAGTAAGGGGAGACTCCTGTGGAACACCCACACTTACAAACGGGGGGAGAGGGAGACCAAGGGGCAGCGAAGGTGTGGGGGGAGAGAACAGGTCACCCACAGTGACAGTGGGGAGACAATGGCGAGTTGGATGCCTGTAATCCCGGCTATTCCTATTGCTTTGCTCCCCACAGGCACGCAGGGGGCTGGGCCTGGTTTTAGGGCATGAAGGCAGGAAGCCATCACTGGTACCCGGCTGCAAGTCCCAATCCACACACACATCTCCACTGCCCTCCAGCCCTCTAACGCGTATCTGTGTGTGTCACAGCTACGGTGCACACAGATCATTAGCACCTGAGCCCTCACGTGAGGGGGAGCCACTGGTAGCATTTATGGGGCATCCACAAAGCGCCGGGCTCCATGCCTGGTACTGAGAAACCAAACAAAACCAGACGTCTCTCTGCTGTGGCAGCAGGTGCATCCTTGGTCATGGAGAAAGATCGTGGACACTACACTCCTGTTACCGGCGGCAGTGGCCCACTGGGTCTGACCTATCTATCAGTCCACGACCTTGCTTTCTGACCCTGCAGTTCTGGCATATTCCACATGCCCTGCAGAAAGGCTACACCTGGTGGCTAGTTCTGCAGTTCTCAACAATGGCTGGGAGAGGAGAAGAGACACCCCTTAGCTCCATAGGCACAGATAAATAAACCGGTGAATGTCATTAGGAATCAAGATTTTTTTTTCACTGTAAAAATAAATAAAAGAACTACCCCACAAAAGCACAAGTTGTAATGGGAAGCTGGAAATTGGAAGTGACCATATAGATATATATATACATATATATACGTATATATGTATATATACGTATATATATGTATATATATGCATATATATATTTAATTTTCAAAACAATCACAGCCCTGTAGCAATGGGCTCTTTTATTCTGGAGTCTGGTGTCTGAATACTTTCTTGTGATCACTCGAAAAACCACAAGTCCTGTGGAAAAGACCAGACTCTGTGGCTGCAGTAGGAAAAGTACAAATTAAGCCCAGGGTGTGAGCACCCGGAAACAAGAGATGAACACATCCCCCAAGGGTGGACCAAAGTCACCCCGAAGGGACTCCCAAACTCCACTGTGGGCTAAACTAACATGTGTGACTAATTCTGAAAAAGGAGAATAAACGCAAATCCACGAAGGGGAATGGGCATTCAAGGCCAGAGCAGCCCACGGTTGAAGGTATCCAACATGACCACTCTCCAGCCTCTCCTCTCCACCCCCCTCCCTCCCTCCCTTCCTCCTTTAGTTACTTTTTTCAAATAATCTTGAGTTGATGTCTTGTGCATCCTGGACTGTGATCCTCTTATTGATACTTCTGCATAAGTGGGAAGGCAAGTACTGTCACCATACCCAGCCTTTTTATTAGTTGAGATGAAGTCTCAAGAACTTTTTGCCTGGATTGGCCTAGAACCACAATCCTCCTAATCTCTGCCTCCCCCAAGAATCTGGGATTATAAAAGGAAGCCACTACACATGCCTGGCAAAGCTTTTTATCTTTCTTTTCTTTTTATCTTTTTTTTTTTTGCAGAAGAATGTTAGCCAATAAATGTACAAAGACTGAGAAAAGGAGAAAAATCTTCAATTTGTAAGCCTCAGTTAAGTCACTAACTCAGGTGAGACTCCAAAGAATGCTAGCGCCCTTAGACAAAAGGATTATTGATGGGAAAACAATCTCACAAAGATAGGTAACACACCACCTACTGGGACCCAATTTGGAAGAAATAGGAAATCTAAATGTATCAATAACAACCAGAGGGATTAAACTGGCAATCAGAAATTGCTTGTCATAGAAAGGAAAGCCCAGAACCTGCTGAGTTCTACCAGACATTTTCCCCCCCTGGTTGTGGGGCTTGAACTCTGGGCTTGGGTGCTATCCCTCAGATCTTCAACTCAACTTGAGCCACAGTACCACTTCCGGTTTTCTGGTGGTTTATTGGAGATAAGAGTCTCACGTACTTTCCTGCTCAGCCTGGCTTTGAACTGTGATCCTCAGATCTCAGCCTCCCAAGTAGCTAGGATTACAGGCATGAGTCACCAGTGCCCGGCTCTACCAGACATTTGAAGGACAACAATGCCATGCCTTTTCAAGCTTCTGAAAACCTCATGAGGAAAGCAATAGAAAAGCAAGGCAAAATGCCAGCAATCTGAACTGGACAGCACCTCAGAAGGATTATTAGCCAAGTGTGGCGCTTCACACCTATAGTCCCAGCTACTTGGGAAACTGAGGCAGGAGGATCACTTGAGCTCGGTTCAGGACCAGCCTGGCCAACCACGAGATCCCATCATTTATAATGACTGAATAAACAAACAAACAAAACCAAGATGCTCATTCACCATGATCAAGTGGGATTTGTTTCTGGAACTCGAGATGATTCAACGCACGCAAATCAATATTCAAACCAACACATCAAATTAACAGCATGGAGAGCCCACAGCCTATTCAGTAATTGCAAAAGGAAAGCCATACCTGTGGGGAGGAGAAAGCTCCATAATCAAGCAGGCAAACTTAGTGCCACTAATGAGGTAATACCATATAAATGCCAGAGCATGGATGCAAGGTGTCCTTGCCCAAATACTTAATCCTGATTGAATCAAACCCGTAGCCATCACTTCCAGGAAGTACGAAGTGAACAGGAGTTCTTCCAGGACACCACAGAAATATCACCTTGCCAACCTAAAATGCAAGACACTCAAGATGGCTGACCTCATGTATCAGAAACAGCAAAGCATTAGAAGAAAACCAGAGAAGTAGGTAGGAATATTCCAGATGAAAAGCCTGCACAGAGACGTAACCAGCAAGCCTTCAGCCTGGATTGATGGGTTCTGTTTTGGGGGACAGGGAGGGGGTTTACAAGAATCAGTTGACCCATGGAGGAGGTGAGGGAGGGGACTGGCACTAGAGGATGTCAGAGGTAAGTGGGGCATTAAACTCCTCCGCCAGAAGGCGGCAACAGCCATATCTTACATGGAAGGATGCTCATAAGAATTGTACCTGCCAGGCACCGGTGGTTCATGACTTTAATCCCAGTTACTCAGGAAGCTGAGATCTGAGGATCATGGTTAAAGCCAGCCCAGGTAAGCAAGTTCATGGGACTCCTATCTCTAATGAACCACCAGAAAACCAGAAGTGGTGCTGTGGCTCAAGTGGTAGAGTACTAGTCTTGAGCATAAAGAGCTCAGGGACAGAGTCCAGGCTCCGAGTTCAAGCCTCAGTATCTGTGTGCACGCATGCACATGCACGCACACAAACACAAACACACACACACACACACACACACACAAACGTGCATGCACGAGCACTGTTCTTAGGATTTAAATCCAACTTACATACTACTTTCTTACCCTAAAACTTACCCCCACTTGCAGGAAGAGCAAAGCTGACCTATCCACTCATCCAACAAATACAGCAAAATAATGACCTCCAGTAAATGTAGATGGCCGTATAAGAATGCTTGTGCACCATTCTGTCCCATTTTATGTGTAGAAATTTCCATGAGAAAAGGCATGATTGAAAGGAAAGGCTTTCAGTGAGGGAGAAGTGGAGAGAAGTCTAGTGAGCACTCAACAGTGAGCACTCAGCAGTGAGCACTTGGTAGTGAACACTCAGAAGGTACAAAAGCTTCCCATGTTGTTCACCCATTGCTCATGCTCCTGCTGTAAGCCAGGTGCCATGTGCAGAAGAGCAGGAGACGGACAAGAAGGGCCTTTTGCACGTGGTGAAGTGGCTTCACAGAGCTCCCACAGCTGCCTGGAAGGAGTCACTTTAGAATCAAGCTGAGGTGAGTGCTAGGGCTCAACGCCCATACTGCAGAGCAGGACACCCATGCCTGAGGAGTGGGCACTGATGAAGAAGAGGATGCCCTGGTGCTCAGGGAACTGGACGGACAGTACTGTGTGCTCAGGGGATTGGGCAGACAGGACCCTGGGGGCATGAACTACAACATGCAGGGAGCTCAGCATTGGCAGAGCGCTGCTACTACAGATTCAGGAATTGGTGGAGGGCGAGGCTGCTGCCTGGCTAGGCTGGGCTCGAACCAGGGACAGAGCTTCTCCTGTTCCTGGCTCTGGCTCCTGCTCTGTGAGCTCCTTGGCCTTGAAAGCCCCAGAGATATTCAGGAATCAAGCCTTGCCGTACCAGGAAGCACTCGACACCCAGCCCTCACCAAGCCCAGGCCACTGCATAGATAAAGCACTACTCTGGCATTGGAATGAAGGCTCTGAATTTAGGGTGGAGCTGCCCATCACCTCCACACTCAGTACCCCAGGAGTTGACCATCACCTCCACATTCAGTACCCCCAGGAACTGACCATCACCTCCATATTCAGTACCCAGGAACTGACCATCACCTCCACACTAAGTACCAAGGAAGCTGTCCATCACCTCCACACTCAGTACCTAGGGAGTTGTCCATCACTTCCATACTTTGTACCCAGGGAGCCATCCATGACCTCCTCATTCAGTAACCAATGAGCCATTCGTCACCTCCAAATGCAGTATGGAACGGAACCAAACAGTCAGTTGATAACAGATCTACCCTGCGAGGTCTACCGCAGCACTGTGGTGCTGGCCTTAGCCCCTGCAGGAGGTGTCTCCGCTGGTCTGCCCTAAATTCCGGCTTCCATAGTCTTGACCTTTTTGACTGTGGAATGGCCCGAGCCCGGGTTGAGGATCCAGCCTTGGAAATAAAGTGCTCCTGAAGAACCAGGGGGACAAAACACCAACCTGAAAGGCCTATCTATGCCCAGTGGGGACAGCCTAAGGCATCTGGCTAGGACAAGGCTCAGGGCCAAGGGCCCTACCCACTTCCAAGTGCCCAGTGTGGGGCAGGGAAACAATGAAGGCACAGATTCAGTGGGGAACTGGTGATTCCGGGGATGGGGTGGGGTGGGAAAGCAGCCAGGACATCTCTACAGGGACCAGAGCCCCGTCCATCACCAGCACACATCCCCCATAGGGACCAGAGCCCTGTCCATCACTAGTTCACACCCCCATGAGGTCCAGAGCCCTATCCATCAACAGTTCACATCGCCATGGGGTCCAGAGCCCCATCTATCACTAGTTTACATCTCCATGGGGACCAGCCCTGTCCATCACCAGTCCACGCCCCCATGGAGACCAGAGCTCCATCCATCATCAGTCCATCCCACAGGGATCAGAGCCCTGTCCCTCACCAGTTACCCCAAAAGCCCCACCTCCAAGGGCTACAGGCCTGTGCAGGGAGCAGATAGGAGGCCTGTCATGCTAGTATGATCCAGGGGACCCCATGAGGACTGTGGATAGGCTCGGGGCTTAGAGGATGGGGTCAGGGTCGGGGATGGGGTTGGGGCTCTAAGGATTAGGTCAGGGATAGGGCCCAGGGATGTGGCCTGGGGATGGAGTCAGGGATGGGGCCCGGGGATGGGGTCAGGGATGGACTCCACGGATGGGGCTGGGGCTGGGGCTGGAGATGGGGTCCAGGATAGGTCTGGGAACGGTGTAGGGATGGAGTCAGGAATGGGGTCCAAGATAGGGTCAGGGATGGAGTCGGAGATGAGATCCGGGAATGAGATCAGGGATGGGATCAGGGATGGAGTCGGGTTTGGGGTCCGGGATGAGGGCCAGGGATGGGGTTAGGGATGGGGTCGGGGATAGGGTCAGGAATGGAGTCGGGGATGGGGTCTGGGGATGGGGTCCGAGGATAGAATTGGGGATGGAGTTGGGGATGGGATTAGGGATGGGGTCCCGGATGGGGTTAGGGATGGAGTCGGGGATGGGGTCAGGGATGGGGTCCGGGATGGTGTCGGGGATGGAGTCGGGGATGGAGTCAGGGACGGGGCTGGGGAAGGGCCAGGGGATGGGGCTGGGGACAGGTTAGGGACGTCCAGGGATGGGGACAGGGCTGCGGCTGGGGCCCGGGGATGGACTAGCGGGCCCGGCCTCGCCCCGCGGTGATCGCACCCCGCCCGCACCTGTGCCCGCGGCTGGGCTCCTCCTCTCCCGCGCTGCCCCAGCCGGGGCTCAGGTACCGGGCCCGGCCGCCCGCGTCGCGCAGCTCCGCCCCCAGATCCTCGTCCTCGTCCTCAGCCTCCTGGATGGCGACGCGGATCTGCACCGGTGTCTCGGGGCCCGGCAGCGCCTCCGCGCCGGGCTGGGCCATGGTTCGCGGGCACGCGGGGA